TATCCCCATCCTCAATGATGGAAGAGCCCAGCACATCAGTGCAAAAGATAAGGCTAAAGCTTTCACAGCAATCTTCAGCCAGAAGTGCTGAGTGAATGATCCATCTCGGCCTCTTCCAGTGGTCCCCAGCATTACAGATACCAGTCTCCAGCCAATTTGATTCACTCCACGTGATATCAAGAAATGGTTGGATATACTGGATACTGCACAGGCAATGGGCCCTGACAAAATTCCAGCAATAATTCTGATGACTTATGCTCCAGAACTTGCCATTCCCCTAGCCAAGCTGTTCCAGTACAGTTACAACACTGGTATATATTCGACAATGTGGAAAATTGCCCAAGTATGTCCTGCACACAAAAAGCAGGACAAATCCAATCTGGCCAATTACCGCCCCATCAGTGTCCTCTCAATCATCAGTAAAGTGATGGAAGGTGTCAGTAACAGTGCTATCAAGCAGCACCTGCTCAGCAATAACCTGCTCAGTGACGCCCAGTTCGGGCTCCGCCAGGGCCACTCAGCTCCTGATCTCATTACAGCCTGGGATTCAAACATGTGCAAAAGAGCTGAATTCCAGAGGTGAGATGAGAGTGACAGCCCTTGGCATCAAGGCTGCATTTGACCGAGTGTAGCATCAAGGAGCCCTGGCAAAACTGGAATCAATGGGTATCAGGGGGCAAACTCTCCGGTGGTTGGAGCCATGCCTGACACATAGGAAGATGGTCGTGGTTGTTGCAGGTCAATCATCTCAGCTCCAGGATATCTCTGTAGGAGTTCCTGAGGGTAGTGTCCTAGGCCCAACCATCTTCAGCTGCTTTATTAATGACCTTCCCTCCATCATAAGGTCAGAGGTGGGGATGTTCACCGATGATTGCACAATGTTCAGCACCATTCACGACTCCTCAGACACTGAAGCAGTCCGTATTCAAATGCAACAAGATTTGAACAATATCTAGGCTTGGGCTAACAAATGGCAAGTGACATTCGCGCCACACAAATGCCAGGTTATGATCGTCACCAACAAGAGACAATCTAACCACCGCCCCTTGACACTCAATGGTGTTACCATCACTGAATCCCCCACTATCAACATCCTGGGGATTATCATTGACCAGAAACTCAACTGGACTCACCACATAGACACAACGGCTACAAGGCTGGGTCAGAGGCTGGGAATACTGTGGTGAGTAACTCACCTCCTGACTCCTCAAAGCCTGTCCACCACCTAAAAGGCACAAGTCAGGAGTGTGATGGAATACTCCCCACTTGGTGCAGCCTTAACAACATCCAAGAAACTTGACACCATCCAGGACAAAGCAGCCCACTTGATTAACACTGCATCCACAAGCATCCACTCCCTCCACCACCGACGCTCAGTAGCAGCAGTGTGTACTATCTACAAGACAAACTGCAGAAATTCACCAAAGATCCTCAGGCAGCACCTTCCAACCCACAACCACTTCCATCTAGAAGGACAAGGGCAGCAGATACCTGGGAACACCACCCCCTGCAAGTTCCCCTCCAAGTCACTCATCATCCTGACTTGGAAATATATCGCCATTCCTTCACTGTCGCTAGGTTGAAATCCTGGAATTCCCTCCCTAAGGGCATTGTGGGTCAGCCTACACCTAGTGAACTGCAGCGGTTCAAGAAGGCAGCTCACCACCACCTTCTCAAGAGCAACTAGGGATGGGCAATAAATGCTGGCCCAGCCAGTGATGCCCACATTCCACAAATGAATAGAAAAAAAAACCCTAGTCCATTCACCAACCACTAACAACATCACCTTCTTCCCATGGCACCTTCCCATGGACTCGCAGAAGGTGCAACACCTGCCCCTTCACCCCCTCCCTGCTCACTATCCAAGAGCCTAAACAATCTTTCCAGGTGAAGCAGCATTTCACCTGTACCTCCTCCAATCTTGTGTGTTGTAATCGCTGCAGCCAATATGGCCTACTCTACAATGGAGAAACTAAACGCAGACTCGGTGAACACTTTGCAGAACACCCCTGGTCTGTGAACAAGCATGACTCTGACCTTCCTGTAGCTGATCATTTTAACACAGCACCAGCTTACATGCCTACATGTCTGTCCTCGGCATGCTGCAAATCTCCAGCAAATCACAGTGCAAACTGGAGGAACAACATCTCATCTTCAGACTAGGCAGAATATTGAGTTCAACACCTTCAAATTGTGAACAAAATCCCATTTCTGCCCTTTATTTTAGCTTTACTTGTTACATTCTCTGTCATAATATCCTCTCTCCCCTCCGCCCACCCTAGTGGGACTGACTGTTCTTTCAAGTCTGGCAGTTAGACGCACCATTGTTCTACCTTTCTCACATTGTGATCACTTAATCTGAACTATCAACATCTTTGCTCCATCAGCACTCTATAGTCTCCCCACACCCTTTCCCAACGAGAGCATAAATGCTGCCCCCTTCACACTTCACTTCAGCTCTGATGAAGAGTCATCTAACTTCGAAATGTTAGCTTGCTCTCTCCATGAATGCTGTCTGACCCACTGTGATTTCCAGTGTCTTCAGTAATTTGCTCCTCTATTGTGCTGTTTCCTGAGGTGGTCATAACAAGAAATTGTGGGTCTTGGCCAAGATTATTGTGAAACAGATGCAATGAGGATATGGATGTGGTGTGATTAAGTGATAATGGTTTGTATAAGAGACTCCTCTTTCTTCTGAACTCCGCTGAATACAATCCTAACTGACTCAACCTCTCCTCATATGCATCCTTTGGTGGGATGGCAGTGGAGAGTGGAAGCAGCTTGTATGATCAGCAATGTTTGTGTATCATAGAGTGCAGATTCCAACCATTCAGCTCATCGTTCCTGTGAAAGACCTTTCAAGGAGCTGTCCTCTTGTCCAACCTTCCACTGCTCATTCCCAAGATTTGTGAAGACAACCTCATTTTTTTTCTCCTTATTTTGGATTGAAGGCCAAAGAGGGGAAACAGGCTGCTGATTATATTCTGAAATCCAAGCTCACAGATGTCCACACCAGCACCAGTAAATTGTAAAATTCATCTGATTATTGTGAAGAATTACATGATTTGGCTAAAATAATTTTCCATGCAACCAATCCTGATTTATTCCCAGTAATTAAATGCCAAATTTCTACTGTTTAGTTTGGCAGTTATGGCCTAAATGATAATGCACCATAACTAATCCTCACATCTATCTCATTTACAGCAATTCAAGTTATGCAGAAAGGGTTGGAAAAATGAGGGTTGTTGGAGCTGTACTCATCCTGGGAGGTAGGGAGTATTCCATCACAGTCCTGGCTTATGCTGGGTAGATGTGAAAAAGCTTTGGGGAGTCAGGAGGTGAGTTATAATCACAGTAGAATTCCCGTTCCTGTAAAATCAAAGGATCCCCAGTGTGGAACTGTGTGGAAACAGGCCATTCGACCCATTGAGTCTACATTGACTCTCCAAAGAGCATCCTACCCAGACCCACCTCCCTACCGTATCCCTGTAACTCTGCATTTCCCATGGCTAATCCACCTAACCTACACATCCCTGGACACTATGAGCAATTTAGCATGGCCAACCCACCTAACCTGTACATCCTTAGACTGTTGGAGGAAACTGGAGCACCTGGGGGAAACCCATGCAGACACAGGGAGAATGTGCAAACTCTACACAGACAGTCACCTGAAGGTGGAATAGTATTTATGTCAATAGTCCTCTGTATTAAGCCATCAGTCACATTATAACAGTTAATACACAGTGCTGAATACAGCTGAGCACAAACTTACTCCAGTTTGGTAATTTTCCGGGCCAGGCTAACCATCACTGCAAACAGCTGGAAATTGGCGAAGCCTTCGATGAAGTGGCAGTCCAGGCTCTCCAGTATCTGAAGGAACAATGTAACAGTCGAAAATACTGCAATCAGGGGAGAACCAATATAAAAACACATATCTACCCAGGAAAAATACAATAGAAATTCAATGAATAAGGCCTGGTACTGCATATTGTTTTAAATTTAGTCAAAGCGAATGGGCGTTACCAGCTAATCCATGTTTTATTATCCTTCTGTGTTGTATTTCTGAATGTGGTGGTGAGCTGCCTTCTTGACCTGCTGATGCTCATGTGGCGTAGGTGTGTCCATTGGGCTGCTAGGAAGGGCATTCGCAGAATATTGACCCAGCAACTGCAAATATATTTCGATGGATGGTGAGTGATTTGCAGGAGAACTTACAGGGGGTAGTGCTCCCATGTATCTGCTTCTATAGAGTCATACAGCATGGAAACAGACGCTTCGGCCGAACTCATTTATGCTGATCAAGTTTCCCAATCTAAACCAGACTTATTTACCCGTATTTGGCCCGTATTCCTCTTAGCCTTTCCTATACATGTACCTGTCCAAATGTCTTTTAAATGTTGTAACTGTACCTGCATCTATCACCTCCTCTGGCAGTTCATTCCATATATGCACCACCCTCTGTGTGAAAAAGTTGCCCCTCAGCTCCCGTTTAAGTCTTTCTCCTCTCACATTAAAATTATGCCCTCTTAGGGAAAATATCTTTGCTATTCACCTTATCTATGCCCCTCATGATTTTATTTTTTTTTATTCATTAACGGAATGGGGGCTTTGCTGGCTAGGCAGCATTTATTGCCCAGAGGGCAGTTGAAAGTCAACCACATTGCTGTGGGTCTGGAGTCACATGTAGGCCAGACCAGGTAAGGATGGCAGCTTCCCTCCCTAAAGGACATTAGTGAACCAGAGATAGTAGGAACTGCAGATGCTGGAGAATCCGAGACAACAAGGTGCAGAGGTGGATGAACACAGCAGGTTAAGCAGCATCATAGGAGCAGCTTAGCCTGCTGTGTTCATCCGGCTCTGCACATTAGTGAACCAGATGGGTTTTTCCCCGACAATCAATAATGATTTCATGGTCATCGTTAGATTCTTAATTCCAGATATTTTATTGAATTCAAATTCCACCATCTGCCGTGATCGGATTTGAACCTGGGTCCCCAGAATGTTATTTAGGTCTCTGGATTAACAGTTCAGCAATGATACCACGAGGCCATCGCCTCCTGCAGTTTATAAAACTCTACAAGGTCACCCCTCAACCTCCTACACTCCAGTGGAGAAAGTCAGCCTATCCAGCCTCTCCTTATAACTCAAACCCTCCAGTCCTGATGACATCATTAGAATTTTATTCTGAACTCCCTTCAATTTAATAGTATCTTTCCTATAGCAAGGCAACCAGAACTAGACACAATACTCCAAAATGGCCTCACCAACGTCCTGTGCAGAGGTTGCAGGTTTGGAAGCTGCTATCAGGAGCCTTGGTAGGTTGTTGCAGCATATCTTGTAGATGGTATACACTGCTTCCACTGTGCATTGGTTAAGGGAGTGAATTTTGAAGGTGGTGGATGAGGTGCCAATCAAGCAGGCTGCTTTGCCCTGGATGGTGTCTGAAATCATTCCACAGAGGCCGGAATCCCGTCAATATGTCCCCCTTTATTAACACATGGAGAGTCCTTGACACTGATTAAGCTTCCTCAGAGCCAGCTGTCAGAGTGAGCAGGATGTCTGACACGCCTGTTCTTATCTGTCAGCCAGGGCTCCCTGATTGGACCAGGTTTACAGCCCCAATCATATTTTATGAGGTCCTCCTGGCTGACCTCATTACAACCACCACAGTGTCTAGCTTTTTGAGTGTTTCTGGAGATGTGCCTGTCCAGGAAAGTGGGGCTTATTCCATCAAACTCCTGATTTATCTGCACAGAGATGCCATAATCAAATGTGGCTCCAGAACCTAAGCAACCCTAAGAAACTAAGCAACATTCACAGACTGAGGTTTGCCAGGAATAAAATTAAAAGCTTTAAATGTGATGTATCAGACTGAATTATACATTTGAAGTTTCAAAGTATTCAAGTTAATTCAGAGGTGTCCCAACTATGACCGTTAGGCTATTGAAACACATGAGCAATGGGCTGTAGCTTGATAGTTAGGTGTCTGTCCAAATGAGCAGAGAATACACTGTGACTAGGATGGACATCACTTCCAGAGTGAATATCCTCTGTTGTGGATGTGGAAGCAATTCCAAAACTGGAGTGTCCTCTCCAGAAGTGAGTAAATAATTTGGAGATCCTGAAAAGCCCAAAAATCAGGAAACCCCAGCCCCATGCTACTCCAGGTCCATAGTCAAGAAATTTAATCCCATTTCTGTACTGCCTTGTTCAGGTGGAACATTATGGACCTGGAGGTTTTGTTGAAAGAAAGATATGCTGTCAAAGATCTTCATTTGTGCATAAGGACTGATGCAAGAGTATCAAGTTTCAAAGGGAACAATAATTTATATTGCACGAGAAACAGGGTGCTGAGAGTGGACTATGACAGGTTAACATATCAGCATGAAGAATGCACCAGGGACAGCTAATATAAAGCTTTTGTTGTAATTCAAGGAAAGCAAGTTGACTCTGATTGGTTGATACACGGGGAATGTGCAAGGGAACAATATTTCCCCCAGGTTTTTGTTTAATTGAGAAGGTGCAATAACCTGGGACAAACTCCTCCTGCCTGGGTCCTGTGCAAACATAAGACAGCAGGCATTTTGAGCCTGACTAATAATTATAAATTGGTTGCTAATATAATTCTTAACAGACCCAAAATTGAGTAAAATATGGAGTAAAAGAGGCATAAAAATGAAGATTGTGTAGCGACACTAAATTGTGCATTATTTTCCAGCTAGCTGCCCCTGTTTATAAATGGCATTAACGAGCCTCCCTAAACCCAGATTGCCTTAGGCAGGCCCTACACCTGCCAACGTGCTGGAAGTACACAAAGACGGAAACGTGCATTAATATGGACCCATCGCAGATAGGGCCTTGTAAGGTACAATTCTGCATCAAGAAAAGGGGAAACCGAGAAAGCAGGTGAAAGTCTCCATGATTACGGAAAGCAAAACATTCTCAGCAGCTGATTATACAATTACCCTGTAAATATAAATTTCTTCAGAGTCAGTGAGTGTCTCAAATGTGACCATTTCTTTCAGAGCCATTATTACTTCAACACAAGTCAAGTAGCCGTCATTATCTTTATCCACCTGCAAGGCAATTGAGAAACAACAAAGGGAGTCAGTAAGGAGTCTTAACCAGAAATAGATGGAATCAACCAAGCAGTATCTGCACAAATAACAAGAGAAGTACAATAGTTAACTACATCGTCATATTACATCATCACCTCCTGAGTGAAGAAATCGCTCCTCATCGCAGTTCTAAATGGAACTGCCCCTTAATTGGAGACTGCATTCTCTGGTTCCCACTGCCATCTCTAGCCCAAGGGATACACCCCTTCCTGTATCCATCCTATAAGAATTCTGCATTAAAAACAAAGAATTGTGGACGATGAAGATCTAAAATAAAACCAGAAATTGCTGCAGAAAGCCAGTATGTCTGGCATCTTCTGTGGAGAAAGAAACAGAGTTTGTGTTTTAACACCAGTGACCCTTCTTCAGAATACTAAAGAATTTTGTAAGTTTCCATGAGATCACCTCTGACTCCTCGAAACTCCAGGAACTGCAAACCCATGAAATTTGTGCCAGGCAAAAAGAGTTATCAGCTCATCTTTCTGCTGTTGTCCCACAGCTCTGTAGGGTACAGATCCCTACTCATTGTGGGTGTTTTTTCTCTCCATTTCAATCTGGAATTTCCTCCGTAAACTCTTCCACTTCTCTTTCTCCTCCTTCAAGAAACTCTTTAAAAGCTATCACCAGGTCAAATATAAAACTTGATGTCAAGTTTTGTTTGAGAGAGCACCTATGTAGTACTGTAATGATACTGTGACTTTACAAAGTGTATTTTGTCCTGGTCTTTTTTTTGAAGAGGGATCTTAAGTCAGAGGTGTCAAGTCATCTATTGAAAACTCATAAGGTAAACAGCTTGTTAAGCCTTGGGTATTTTTTTAAAAATTGGACCAATAGAAACAGCCTGAATGTGTGCGGCAAGCTCCCATAGAACCAGGATTTTAAATTTTAGTTTTTCAGTAGGAGTCACTGGGTTTTGAAGCTGGGTTTGGAAGCTGCAGTACATCTTGTCCTGCTGCTTTCTATCTCTCAGAGTTTTCTCTTGATGTTTTTCCTCCTGAACTAGAGAATTATGTGAGACAATCTATTTTACTGAATTTGCCTTTGCCAAGTGTGTGTATAGGATGTCACTATATTGGAATAGTTACTGTTTAGTAGTAAAATAATTTATCATTCTGTTAAGTTTTCCAACATTAAGTTATTCCAATGTCTTCTTTATTTTGTTGTATTTTAACCATAGTGTATGAATAAAATTTCAAAAGCTTCAATTTGGTAGCTTAACCAATTGAATTGCATTTGGAACTCAATGTCTGGCACTTGCCTTTAAAATAAGAAAAAGTTAGGGTTTAGGCTATCTTCTTAATATATTTTGAGGGGTCTGGTCTGGTCTGTAACAAGTACCTTGGAATGTTTTACAAGCTAGAATCTCTTCTCTAACTGTAAGTTGTTGTCGTAGATATGATCAGAGGGGGAGATTTGAACCGGACACTGAGCTGGATGTTACTTGCACTGGTCTGTCTATCGTTGTTAGAGGAGAACACAACTTACCTCTTTAAACTTCTTTTTGTACAGTGCCAACTCCTCACGATTGAAAATGCAATATTTCTCCAAAAAGTTAACTGGAAGGTAAAGAGAAAGAATCATGAGTTGGGGAATCTGCCAATGTCGTCAATCCCAAACAATGGAATTCCTCAGTATTTACAAAATGCTCAAACATAAATGAACATTTCAAAAGCTGTTACTTCACCAATAACAGGAGCAGAGTCAGTCAAACTCTACTTCAGCACACTATTGACATGTTGGCAAATGACAATTCTCATTTTGAGAGTCTGTTCTTCCAGAGAGACCTTGAATGAGGAAGCGAGGAGAATGTGTTGGCTGGTTTTGAAGACGGTGGTGGAAAAATAGTTTCCATTAGATTCCCAGCTGCCTTTCTACGTTCAGATAACACTGACAATGCCTTAACTCAGATTATAAACCCAAAGAAGCATCCAGTACCAGAAACATAAAATGATAATGCACAGAAAAAGGCCATTTGGCCCATTGATCATGCACCAGTTCTTTCTTTTATACCCAGAAGTGCTATCACAGACAACCAGGTGGGTTTTCCCACTATCAAATCATCTAGGCAATTTTAACGTATTAACCACCACCACTAAATCACCCAATTGTTCAATTTACACACAGAGCCCATTCAGGACAAATGCAATTATATGAAAGATGAGGAAAATGTAGGGAGAGAGGGAAAGGGGAAGAGGTGGAGAAGGCTAAATCCAAATGGAGTTAGAAGGAGAGATAAGGCACTCTACCCACTGCAGTGCCCACTTTTCTTTTAAAGTATTGGTGGACACTGAGGGTCTCCTCTCCAATGACACTTGGCACAAAAGTAGACGCAGAAGATGGGCAGACAATTGTCAACTATGACCCACTCCAATGCCTACTGCCTGGACCTGTTAATGGTCAACTTGGCCACACCCAGGAGTAGATCCAGGAGGAGGTCCTTTGTTCCAGTTCCTTGTAAATGTGATCAATTGGTTCTATTCTCACCCACTCTTTCCACTTCTCAACAACTTAGTGAATTCCCTTTGAAAGTTCCTATTGAACCTGTTTCCATCACCCTTTCAAACAATAGATGATAAGAACTCAATTAGGATTTACTGCTAAAGGAATGCAGCACAAGAGTGGGAAATTGTTATTATGATTGTGGAATGCGCTGGTGTTTTTGCATCCAGAGTACTGTGTACCACTTTGGTCCATTACTTAAGAAAGGAGGCAATTGCATTGGAGGCAGATCAGAGAAAGCTTGCTAGATTAATCCCAGAGATGAAAGGCTTGTCTTATGAAGAAAGTTTGAACAGTTTAGGCTAGAGTTTAGAAGTATGAGAGGAGGTCTAATTGAGGAATATAAGATGCTAGAGGGGATTTTAAAAAGTACACATTTCCTCATATGAGGCAATCTAGAATGATAAGGCAGAGTTTTAGGATAAGGGGTGCCAAAAGAGGAATTACTTTCCTCATAGGGTTGGGTGGCATTCACTATCCCAGAGTGTGATGGTTTCTGGGACATTGAATAAATTTACAGAGGAGATAGACAGGTTTTCAATTAGTAACAGGTTTAAAGGTGATGGGGAATGGGCAGGAAAGTGGATTTGAGACCGAGGTGATGCACCATGATTAATTAGCGGAACAGGCTCACAGGGCTGAATAGCTTCCTCCTGCTCCTGGTTCATATGTTCACTGTCAAACTTGCTTCCACATTTCTCCTCCAATTGTTTTACCGTCAAACTGTGCCCTCTAGGCTCTGGCACTTGAATCAGTCTCTACTTATTTACTGTCAAAACCCCCCATGATCTTTGAACACTCAATTAAATATCTCCTCAAACTTTTCTTCTCTAGGGAGGAGAACATTAAAGGAACCCATTTTACTGATGACAACTAACATCCAAGAATCACTAAATGGACTGTAATAATTGTTGGCCCATCATGTGGAGGCAGCAGGGTCATGAAATTGTCTTAAAGTGAAAGCGTCATATTCCCTATTAGACCACCATGGGGTCATCAGTACCTTAAAGTTTAAAGACTGAAATTTGCTTTTGTGTAAGTCAGCAGCTCAAGCTGAAAGAAAACAAAAAGATCCTACCTTTAAAGAAATAGGTTCCATTTAAAGCTACACAGTCTACGAAAGTTTCCTACTTCATTACAACAGTGCTCCAGCCCATGCGTACAGCGAGCAGGCCAGTCGGCTGAGACACTTGCTTTCCATTCAATCCCTCACTCTGGCCCCTGCTTCTAATTCAGGGACAGCTGGCAAAAGATGATGAAAATGTTTGTAATCAATTGAGAGTCACTGACTCCATTTCTTTCATATAATAGAAAGCTTTTGTATTTTGTTCCAAGGGACTGGCCGCCTTATCAGTTCACCCGGTTACTTTTATTTTAATCTTTCTGCGTTTGCTCACAAATCCTCCTGGATTTATTGCAGATGCAACCAGCCCAGTGAAAATAATCGTACAAGCGAAGGGACTCGTCAACTCCTGGCTAGAATACTGAATGATTCCAATGGGAAATTAACCAGACAAAAGAGGCACTGGGCTGATAAATGAAGAGAGCTTCATTACTATGGTGCTCTGACAAGCTTAACACTCTTAATGTCTGTTTGGCAAAACCTCATGACAAATATTACAAGTCATTGTAAGTTGTAGTGGTTCTGTTGCTAGACAATATTTCTAGACCATGTAGATTCAACTTGCAACTGTAGTTTGAGAACTTGAATTTAGTTCATAATTTCAGGAAAAGGGACTTAGAAATAATTTGTCATTATCTGGAAAACAATACTGATTCAATATTGCCCTCTATATAAGGGAATGTGCTGGATTTATTCAGTATGAGCCTATATGTGACACAAGTCCCACACTAACAAAGAGAACCCTTAGCTGATCTCTGAAATGGTCAAGGAAGCCACTCAGTAGGATCAGCATTTTTTTTTTATTTACAGATATGGATGTCTCTGGCTGGACCAGCATTTATTGTCCATCCCAAGCTGTCCTTGAGAAGGTGGTGGTGAGCTGCGTTATTGAACTGCTACAGTCCACATCTGTGGGTGGACCCACAAGGATGGATATTAGGATGGATATTCACCATTGTGTCATTTTTTAAAGTCAGGATCGTGACAGGAATTTGCAGGTGGTATTCCCATGAATCTTCTAGATGGAAGTGGTCATGGGTATGGAAGGTGAAGTGCTGTAGTGGATCTTGTAAATGAGACACACTGTTGCCAACTTGTAGTGAAGGGAATGGATATTGAAGATCTACTTGTGGTGCTGATCAGGCGGGATGCTTTGTCCTGGACGATATCGAGCTTCTTGAATGTTGTTAGTGCTGCACCCATCCAGGCAAATGGGGAGCATTCCAACAGCCCAAACCTGAATGTCGTCCAATCTTTGCCACATTGAGAGAGACTGCACTTAAAAAACTTGCTGGTGGGCCAGGCACAAACTCAGAAATTATGTTTAACTGAGTAATGTTTCTGCAGAGAGTGGGAGCCTGTGGAATTCTCTGTAACAGAAACAATCGAGGCCAAAACATTGAATGTTTTCAAGAAGGAATTAGATTTGTGAATCATGGAATCATACAGCCTTTGGCCCATTGAGTCTGCACAGACAAAGACAGCTGTTCACACGAGTCCTATACTCCAGCACTTGATCCATGGCCTTGAATGTTATGACATTCCAAGTGCTCATCCAAGTACTTTTTAAAGGTCGTGAGGTTTCCCACCTCAATTACCTGTCCAGGCAGTGCATTCCAGACACCACCACCCTCTGGTTGAAAATATTTTCCTCAAATCCCCTCTGAACTTCCTGCCTATCAACTTAAAATTAACGCCCCCTCATTATTCAACCTTCAGCTGGGAAACAGCTGCTTTCTATCAACACTCACAATGCCCCTAATAATCTTAGACACCTCTATCAGATCTCCTCTCAGCTTTCTTTTCTCCAAAGAAAACAACCCAATCTTATCCAGCCTCTCTTCATCACCAAACTGCTCCATCCCAGGCAAAATCCTGGTGAGTCTCTTCTGCACCCTCTCCAGTGTAATCACATCCTTCCAATTGTGCAGCGACCAGAACTGCACACAATACTCCAGCTGTGGTCTAACCAAAATCCTGTACAGCTCCAATATAAACTCGCTGTTCTTATAATCTATGATTTTAATCTGTGACTGACAAAGGCAAGTATCCCATATGCCTTCTTGACTAAAAACTGAAAGAACTGGGGATGCTGTATATCAGGAACAAAAGCAGAAGTTGCTGGAAAATCTCAGCAGGTCTGGCACCATCTGTGAAGAAAAAATCAGAGTTAACGTTTCGGGTCCGGTGACCCTTCTTCAGAATGTTCAGTAGGCTCAAAGGGCCGAATGGCCTAATCCTGTTCTGAGTTGCTGGAAAAGCTCAGCAGGTCTGGCAGCATCTGTGAAGGAATAAAACAGAGTTAACGTTTCGGGTCCAGTGACCTTTCCTCCGAACTCTGTTTTTTCCTTCACAGATGCTGCCAGACCTGCTGAGCTTTTCCAGCAACTTTTACAGCATCCACAGATCTTTCGGTTTTTATGTAGATATTTTAAGTTTGGAAATGGGTGCTGTTGTGCCTCACAGAAAAACACAATAATTTATCTCAAGGCATCTAGAACATAGAAGGATGAGAGCAATGCTTCTGTTGTACAGACTTTATTTGAGACTCTATCTTGAGGAACCTCACACCTCAGGAAGGAGATAATGGCTTTGAAGTGGGAATGGAACAGAGTCACCAGAACAAAACTGAGGTTCAAAGACATACCATATGAGGACATGGTATATAAACATGCTTAGAATTCCTGCTGGTACTGAAGGTAGATCTGATCAAGGTGTTTAAAATATGATAAGCATTTAATAGTGTAGATGGCAAAACCTTCTTAATATTATGGAGAGATCAAGAACAATGTAATTACCTTGATAGAAGTGGTCCATGTCCAAATGCAATAAGACCTAGACAATATAGGCTTAAGCTGAAAAGTGGCAAGTGACACTCACCCCACACAAATGCCAGGCAATGACCATCTCAAGCAAGATAGTTCCAAACATCCA